GAGCTTTGCGGCTTCCCTAACCAAGACGGCAACGGCCGCCACAGTTCTCAGGCAAGAGGGCCACCCGGAAGCCACAGGGTCCAGCTGCTTGGAGAGATAGGCAACAGGACGATTCCAGGGCCCCAGGGGCTGGGTCAGAACCCCTTTGGCCACAGCTCGAGACTCAGACACATAGAGGCGGAAGGGCTTGGACAGGTCTGGCAGGGAGAGGGCAGGCGTGCTGGACAGCGCCTTTCGGAGCTTGTCGAATGCTTCCTGCTGTCGTGGTCCTCAAACAAATTGGGTGGGTTCACCAGTTAGGGCCTCATATAGGGGTTTGGCAACCTCGGCAAACCCCAAGATCCAGAGGCGACAGTATCCAGCCATCCCCAGGAATTCCCGGAGCCCGCGGCGGTCCCTCGGGGCGGGCATGCCCAAAATGGCAGCTACACGCCCCCCGAGACAGTAACCTTTGACCAGAACGAAGGGTGAAACCCAAGTAAACAACGGATTGAGAGCACAGTTGTGCTTTCTTTCCAGAGATACGGTACCCGGAAGCTTCAAGCAGCTGGAGAAGGTGGAGAGTTGCATCTTTGCATATTGCCTCAGAGGAAGTAGCTAACAAAAGGTCATCAACATACTGGAGGAGAGTGACCTCCGGATACAAGACCCGGAAGGCGGCCAGGTCGGAGGCCAGAGCTGAGCCAAAAAGTGTAGGGGAGTTCTTAAAACCTTGGGGAAGCCGGGTCCAGGTGAGCTGAGAGGATGTCCCAGTGTTAGGATCTGTCCAAGTAAAAGCGAATATAGGTTGGCTTACTGGTGCCAAGGGAATGGAAAAGAAAGCATCCTTCAGGTCCAAAACAGTATACCAAGTCCGAGCAGGGTCCAGGGAAGACAGCAACGTGTACGGGTTTGGCACAGTAGGATGTACAGTTTCCACCCGGGCGTTGACTTCTCGTAGATCCTGGACAGGACGGAAGTCTCCAGACCCGGGCTTGTGAACTGGAAGTAGGGGGGTGTTTCACGAGCTCTGGCAGGGTCGTAGAATGCCTGCCGCCAAGAGTCGATCGATGTGAGGCTTGATGCCCAAAAGGGCAGCTCGAATCAACGGGTATTGTTGGACACGCGCAGGGGTTGCTGTGGACGAGAGCTGGACCACCACTGGGGGCTGGTGTCCTGCTAGACCAAACGGGTTGGTCTCAGCCCAGACTCCAGGAACCAAGCCTTTGAAATGGTTCAACAGAGTTAGGGAAGTAGGGGTGGAGGTGGTCGAGGGGCGGTCTGGGGAAAACGTTAGGGGGAGGAGGCGAGACTCCTCTGACAACGGGCAGGTGAGAACAAGTTGTGGCAGGTTAAACCCGAGAGTGGGGTTAGGTCCCTTAAAGGAAATGATAGCCTGAAGCTTGTGTAGGAGATCTTGGACAATCAAGGGGTAAGGGCAATCAGGCATTACTAGAAAAGAATGGGAGACTAGGCCCTTCCCTAACCGGACTTCCCGAGAAGTGGTGAGGGGTACAGACTGTTTTCGTCCAGTAGCTCCCTGGACCTGCACAGTGGATGATGAGAGGGAGCCCAGTGGGGATTTCAGGACCGATGCCGCAGCTCCAGAGTCGACTAGGAATGAGACAGGTTGACCCCCAACACTGAGAGTAACCCTCGGCTCCAGGGGGTCAAGAGTCACAACGGACTTTGAGCCGGGGCACCCCTAGTCTGTATTCAAAGTCAATAACGGCTCTGCCTTCTCTTTCAGCCCGCGATTAGGGCACTCAGATTTCCAATGACCCATGGCTTTGCAGTAAGCACACTAGTCCCGAGCTAAAGGAGGCCTTCCCAAGCCTTTACCCTTATAGGGGCGCCCAGCGTTTGGCCCCTCCCGCCTTCCTTTCCACCCTTGCTTCTGAGTCTCCCCTGGAACCTGTGCTAAAGCTGCCACTACCGCCCTTGCGACCGTGCGAGTTTGCTTGTCTTGAGTCTCTTCACGATAGTCAAACACCCGCTTGGCCACTTCCATGAGTTCAGTCAGATTTTTACCCTCAAAACCTTCAAGTTTCTGTAGCTTCCGACGGATGTCCGGAGCTGAATTGGCTACGAAATCAATTACGATGGCTCTCCGGTTATTGGGATCCTCTGGGTCGATAGGGGTGTAGGTTCGATATGCCTCGTAGAGGCGCTCTAAGTATGCAGCTGGGGACTCGTTCTTGCCCTGTCTAACCTCACTGACTTTGGACATATTAGTTGGCTTCCGTGCTGCTGCCCGTAACCCTCCCAGCAACAACTGGCGATACCTGTCCAGTGCTTCCCTACCGCGATCAGTGTTGGGGTCCCAGTCGGGCCGGTTCTCAGGGAAGATGTGGTTGCGGCGCCCCGGGTCAGTAGAGGGATGTCCATCTGGGTCCAGAACTCCCTTCCTGGCTTCTAAAAGAATCCTGTCACGCTCCTCGGTTGTGAAAAGAACCCGGAGGAGCTGCTGGCAGTCATCCCAGGTGGGCTGATGAGTATAAAAGACAGTCTCTAGGAGGGAGATTAGGCTCTGGGGCTTATCAGAGAAGGATGGGTTTTGCTGTTTCCAATTGTACAAATCACTGGTGGAGAAGGGAACATATACCATGAACGGTCTCCCTGATTCTCCGGGAGGGGAAGGAACTTGCCGCAGGGGAAACGCTGACACAGTGGAATCTGGGGTCAAACTGGAATTAGAAGGGCCATAAGGAGCACCTGCTCGAGTATGGGGTGGACTTATCAGAGGAGGGGCTGAGGGGCTCAGAGACCCTGAGGTTGGGTACGGGGGTGGATCTGAAACCTGGGACTGGGAGTACTCAGCTGGATCTAGGGGGTCAGAATCAGGGGGTGGTAAGACAGGAGTAAGCTGTGTGACGACCTTAGGACTTTCGGGAGGCTTGCGGCTAAAGGTCGGCTTTGATTCCGTTCCTGGTCTTAGTTTTGAAAGGGCCTGGACCTGTA